TGCCACACGGGTGGGGTGAGTACAGTCCATGTGAATAAGATATATCATAGTGCCCATTAAACGTAATCCTCCTTAGTGCCGACTCTTTTTCAGCTTATGGTGGTCCACTGCACTGAATGCATTTCGACTTCTTCTTCACTCCTACAGCTGAACCGTGCCTTTCTTTTCCATTTCCAATGATTCCTGTTTCTTCACCAGCCTTAAATGCCTGGTAAACATTAAAAAATTGGGCCCCAAACAGCTCATCCAGAATCTCTCTGTTGGCCCGCCCCTCTCTGAGTCAGGCACAGATAATTACTGTGGCCTCGCACTCCATGAGGTGAAGCCAGAACAGATTCCCTTGCACCTCATCTGCATATAGATTTTTGGAGGATCCCAGGACTCATGACAAGAACACCAGGTTCCAGGCATGGGTTGGGGCTAATTAGTACGTGGATCCTCCATGGGGGTATATGGAGTACACACGCATGTGTGTTGAGTGCTGAGCTATGGGATCAGTACTGAGTTATGGGATCACCATGACTTTAAATGCTGCTGACCCTGCTGGGGCCCAGCCCAATGAATTGGATGGTAAATCACAAGCCTCTGGCTTAGGACTAATATGCACAGTTTGTACTACATATAAGAGGTGCCAAAGAACTGCTCAAAAGTGTGGATGGAGTACCTATGCTAAAGCTTACAGCAGTTTCGAAAAAAAAGATAACATCCATCAACTCTGGATAAGCTAAGTGTGTAGGTAATACATGTAAATTGCTACAGCCATGTTTAATTTCCAGGTAATTGTTTCAAAATTTGCTCCTCACTTCCATGTGCTCAGGGAGAGCAGGATCTGACAGTAAGGAGAGAGGGAAGGGGCTGCCATGCTAAAAACTTGGAGAGAAGCAGAGAGTAAGGCTACCTGATCTCCCCGATTTATTTTCCCTGCTGTGGCAGTGGAAACGGTACAAATGCAAGGAAAACCTCCAATATTTAGATTCTATACCTGGAAAATTATAAGAGACTTACAAAATTTCCATATACAGAATCTAATTGTTGGGGTGGTCATCTTATAATCACAGCCAACTGCTATTCAAGTAAATATGGTAAATACATTTTTTCTTTTTAAAACTAATTGTTAACATCTACTAAATCTGAAAGTATGCCAACTTATGTAAAGAGTTACATTGACTACAGTCAATGAAAACCATTTAAATATAGAACAAGATTATTCAAAAGTAATTCATTCAACAGAAATTACCGGCTAAGCACCTAGAAGCAGAGTTTAAGTGCTAACCTAGCTTTTGACAGCAGTAGGCTCTTTAGTGGGTTTGTTTAAATGGTTCAAGTTCAATGATTAGTTCAATCAAAAATTAAGAAACATGAAAACTTATTTTCTTCCTAGCTCTCAGTAAAAAGAAAATATGGGAGGTTGGAATTTACTAGTTGTAGAATTTTCTTGGACATCTTGGATCAAGCTGCCAATATAACTGACACTCTCCAAAGTGTTAGAAAATTCTTGATGTTTACCAAATACCTCTTCAGCAAAAAATTTAAAAGTATGCCAAACTACATGATTTTCAAACTGATGCATCTCTTCACTTGTTAATGATGGTCTAGAACAAAAAATGAAGATTCTGAAGGCAACTGCAATTTCAAGGGTTGAGTTTCACTAACAATCAATATTCCTACTCTTTCAAGAAGGGTCATTTAATGTAACCAAAGAGCTTAGGCTTCGGTTTTAAATTCTGTCCAGAAAACGGAATCTGCATCATTGACTCCCACTGTGCTCCCTACTAAATCGACAGCATTATTTCCTAGAGCTCTGGCAGTCTCCTATCCATGCAACTACAAAGCTATGAGAATTCACAAGACTACAGTACCCAAAAGTTTTGACAGCAAACCAAGACTAAAAAGTTACAATCCTTTCTTCTGAGCTGCACAACCATTACCAAAATAACTGCCACAATTTAAAGCTTCTTTGTGTTTTAAACTTCATTTACCTTTAAAATCTGAAAACATGCTACACATCCATCAAAAATTCAACCTTTTTTGTTGTTTAAGCCCAACTCTTTTTACAAAATCTTTTGTGTAATGTAGCCTTCATTATCTGTTACAGCACAAAATTTAAATGACATGTGGTTAGAAGACTCCTGATATTCAAACATGATGTATGTAATTTTATTAAGCATGAGCTTAAATTTTTAAAAATAAAAACAGATGATATCCAGCTGAAGAAAAAAACCCAGCATAACAGAACTAAGAGGAAAGTGGGTTTCATGACAGTACATTTGTTATGTCCTAGTATCATTCTCCTCCACCTGTCGTGGCTTGCAAAATGTTCTGTCCATAATAAGTCTGATTTCTTCATCTTGACCTTCTACATAATTCTGCTTTCTCTTAGATCCCTGCCAGAGACCCAGTCCATGTGCTCTTTAATTCATTTTGCTCTTAAAGATCTTTCCAGCTGTTTCCATGTCTCTTTTCCTTGCTTGCAGAATAGTATTACCATATTTTCTTGCACATAACCCACATCTTTTCCCCCAAAATCAGCTAGGGAAAATTGGGGTGCACATTATATGCGAGGAAAAGTACTCCCCATGGATCTCAAAATGTGTGTGGGAGAAGATGGAGTGGACCTAATACCACAGCTCTGGGAGCCACATCAGTTAATGCTGCCACAGCTCCCTCCCCCTCTCCTCCCTAGCCAAAACTTTTTGACATAGGGAACCCCTTTTCCAACTACATTCCAGATTAGGACAGCATAGGAGTTGATCTGCGGCTCAGAGCGCCTGGTCCAACTCACCATACAGCTCCAAACCTAGCATGCAGCCCCAGTGCCAGTACGCTGAATTGGGCCTTCCCACAGGGCCCCAGCTCATGGCCCACAATCCCAGTGCATGACCCTGAGACCTCTGGCACGTACCCATATTCCACGATAAGATTTTTTTTTCCCTTCTTGGGGGGCCTTCCAAAATAGGTGGCATGTTATATGCAAGAAAATATGACATTTATTGCTGCCAAATGGCACATGGAACAGTTTGGCTCCACTCCAGTACTCAAAACTTGACACACTACTTATTTGTATCCTTTCCTGAGACCAATTTCTTTCATAAATTGTCAGTCCAAATTCCATGTCCATATTTTTTTAATAAATGATTGCACGAGTTCTTAGAGTTGCAAACTATGCTTGTAAATATATATTAAAACATATGGTACACCACCTCTTGTGCTAAGGGATTACCATATTTAGTCAAATACAAGATGTGGTTTTTCCCACTCAATCACCATGGGGGGCAAAGGCCCCTTCCTTGTCTTACATTCATATACATGGAAACCTCATTAACTACATTATTAGTAAACTGCTGCCAAAAAGCAGCATGTGTACAGTAGTGGAAACAAACTATGAAGTTTTACTAGAGGCAGCCAACACTGAAGGCATGACTAAAACAAATGGCCCATATTGGGAAAACCTACTGATGGAAATGATTTTTCTTTTTTTTTTCTTTTTTGGTGTGGCTTGGGATTGGGGGCAGGAAATGGGCAGATGTTCTCTCTACAAGTGGCACTGGGCCCAGAGATACTGCAATACTAGGCTGGCACTGGGAGGGCCAGAACCAGCCCAGACACCCTTCCCTTGGTGCCAAAAATGCTTAATCATAGCCAAAAGCCCAAGATGATGATGGGAAACTACCACAAGGATAAGTTAGTATAGCCCATTTGAGTACAGTCCCCCTCAGTGCCAACTCTTTTTCAAGTCATGATGAGCCATAACACTGCATACATTTTGACTTTCTCTTCACTCCCACAGCCAAATTGTGCCTGTTTTCCCCATTTCCAATAATTCCTGGTTCTTTACTAGCTTTAAATGTCTGGCAAAAACCACCAAATGGGGCCTCAAACAGTTTACTCAGAATCCCTCTGTCAGCCACCAGCCTGGCACATATGACTAATGTGGCCCCACCCTCCATGAGGTTAAGCCAAACCAGGTTGCCCTATGCCTAAACTGTGTATCAATTTTTGGAGGATCCCAGGACTCATGACAAAAACACTAGGTGCCAGTCATGAGTGTGGGGTAATCAGCACTCAGGTCCTTTGTGGGGGGGATATCTGGAGTACACAGATACTGAAATGTGGGGTTACCATGGCTTGAAATAGTGTTGACTCTACCCAACCCAATGAACTATGTAGTAAATCATGAGCTTTTTGGCTTTGGACTAATATAATGTATAGTTTCTACTATGTATAAATAGGTGCCAAAGTGCTGCTTAAAAGTATGTTTATGGAGTACCTGTGTTACAAATTGCAGCAGTTTCAACAAGGTAAAAAGCATGAATTTTGGATTAATTAAGTCTGTGGGTACTACATGTAAATTACTACAGCTACGTTTATTTCAAGGTCCATTTTTTTAGATTTTCTTCTTACTGGCATGTGCTCAAGGAGAGCAGGGTCTGACAGTAAGGAGGGGGAGAAGGGTCTGCAAGGGAACAAGTTTGGAGGGGCAGAAGGTAAAGGGGTTACCTGACCCTCCTGATTTATTTTCCTTGCTGTAGCAGTGGGTGGGGGGGGCAAATTCAAGACATACCTCCAAAAATTAGACTCTATACCTGGAAAATTGCATCAAATTTTCCATATTTAGAATCTAGTTAATTGGAGAGGTCATCTTATAATCAGGGCCATCTTACATTCAAGATTAAATTAGGCTGTAAAGAAATAGGCTGAAAATGTTACAAAAATTTTGGGATTTTCTAAGAATCTGAGGAAAATTCTACAGAAACATCTTGAACCACAGCAGATTTTCCTACATGTATTGTACCCATAAGAACAACTTCCAGTGTTCACCAAATTAGTATTTTTTTTTAGATGTGTAGTAGCAGAAAAGACAGAAGGTTGATGAAATTCTGGTCAGCCACCTGGGATGCTTCTCTCTTTATTCAAACTATAAAACTAAAACACAAGCAAGAAACCCCCCCACAAAACATGTTGTATGTAGGACATTAATAACATTAATTCAATTTACTCACCTATAAATGGAATGGATGCCAAGGAATCACCAGGTGGGCTGGAACCAGATGCTTTCCTTTCTTCTATCCTTTTTATATGAACCTCTCGACGAGCATCATTAGGTAACCAACAGGTAGTGTCCGAGACAGCTTCCTGATCATTTACTGCAAGGATGTAGGAGTGGTGTCTCAAAGGTTGAGGAGTTTGTTGACCAGAAGGAGACTTCTCTCGCATGACAACAGTAGCCTTTTCATTTTCCGTAATGTTGGGCTGCTGACTGTCTGGTTCAGAGTGATGTCTCAGAGGCTGAGTTTGTTGACCAGAAGGAGACTTTTCTTGTGCTTTATCATTTTCCAGAATACTGGGCCGCTGAAGCTCGGGCTCAGAGTGATGTCTCAAAGGCTGAGGAGTTTTTTGAGCAGAAGGAAACTTTTCTCCTGTAATAATGGTGGCTTTATAATTTTCCAGAATGTCAGGTTGCTGAAGCTCAGGTTCAACATAGTGCCTCAAATGCTGAGTGGGTTGGCCGGAAGGAGATTTTTCGTGTATAAGAAGGTTGTCATCATTTTCTAAAATATTGGCTTGCTGCACTTCAGACTTCTTTGCATCTTCCCTTTCAAAATCTTGAATCTTCTGTCTGATGGAAATATCAAATTTATCAGAGGTAGTTGAACTCTCACCTATTTGTTGAACAGGTTTGGCAGAAGCTGCAGAGAAAGAGGGGGATTGGATGCTCTCATCAGTTTCTGTTTTGTGGTCTGGGTCACTTTCTGCTTGGATCCTTGATTGTTGATTTTGCAGATCACTTTGATCCAAGTGATTTACTGCTCTTTGGTCTTTGGCGGCAACACCATCCAGGTTCTGGTTAAGGGGAAATAATGCTTTTGCTACACAGGGAGGATTCTTCAAAGAGTTACTTTTAGAACCCCTAGCTGTCACAAGGGGTGATTTCTCTTGTGAAGTGAGTGTAGTCTTTGAAAATCCACCAGCAGCTTGCAAATCTCTAGTAGGCTGCAGCATTTTTATATCTGATGGAACTTTCTGGAAATGTGTAGCAGATACAGAGGCTCTACTACCAATTCTACTATTGTCTGAATTATGAGCACCTGCAGCCACAGGAAAATGTGGACCTCGAAGGGACATATGGAATGCATGCTGTCTAGATCTCTCATAAATTCCTCGTCGATCATCCTGTTCAGTAAATCCAGACCATTTGTAACTCCTTTTTCTGTCTCCATTTGAATCTGCAACAAGATTCTCAGTACAAAAGTTTTCTAACATGTCACCCTGTTTGCTGAGGTAATCCCATGACCGAGTCTTGTGGCTCCTAGCACTAATAGATGGTGAAATTAATGCATCTTGTGAAGCACTTCTTGGCCATTCTTTCATCAATACTGATTCTTCCAACCTTTCCTGTGATGCGCTTCGCTGACGGATCTGAACAGACTGTGGAACTCTATCACGAGAGGTGCTTCTACGTCGTACCTGTGGAGCAGTTCGATTGGGCATCACTTGATTATAGTCTGTTGTGCTTTGGGAGGCTGCTCTCAAACTATTTAATCTTTCCTGTATTGTTCGGCAACCATACATGTGCAAACGTCTATTATCAATATATTCTTTGTAAGTTTTGTAGTTTTTCCAGTCTATGTGCTGTTGGGAGTTTGGAGAAATGTAGTGATTAGTAGAGACAGGAGGAGAACCTGCAACTTGAGTAGCTGGTCTAGTGCTTGAGATCCATTCTGGATGTCCTCCATAATTCCCAGATTTACTTGGCATTCCAGTGTGATCTACTGGCCCTGTAATAGAAGTCTGAGGAAGTACAATGGCAGTGGACACTGAAGAGGGTGATGATGTTGTCCATACTTTTGTTTTTAAAGTGGTTTGATCCTTTAAACCATATCTCACTTCCTCTGTCCTGTGTGATGGGCCAGTATGATTGGTTCTAGATGATGACAAGTCTACAGCCTTCTCAGAAGGCACAATAACAGTCCTTACGGTTTCATTGCAAACACACACAGCTGTATTTGATTTTGCAATGTCTGTTGGTGATGGAGGCACTTGTATTTCCATTCTATAGGCCCTGTCTGGCGGTGTTAATGTCCGTACTGGTCTACTGGCTTGCTGTTTGCCCAGAGAAGAAACAGAAGGTGATTTGTCACTAGGATGTGACATGACAGAAGCCATGGCTGCTTTTCGAGGATAACATATTGATGGTGGTTCAGGTATGTTCTGAGCATTGCCACTGTAGGTTTCATTGCCTTTCAAATAGGCATCTTGGGAATACGCCTGTGAATGGATAATTTAAAAAGTGTTAAGTCATAGAAGGAGCAGATGCGGGGGCAGGGGGTGAGGAATCACTACCCTGGCTTTATATCATGCAGTGGCAAGATAAAGCCCCTTGGTAGGGACCATATCCGATTTTCAAGTAAATCTCTAAGTATATATGAACTGAACCAAAAAGCTAATCAAAACATACAAAAACATTAATTTTCATGTGGCAAGAGGAGAAATTTACTATATGAAATCACTAGAAAAATAACCTGAATTCTGAAAATGGGTGGAGGTAGAGGGAAAGATTTCTCAAAAATGAAGAGCACTGATCAAGCGAGATTAACACTTTTTATGATTTACTCCAATCATTCCTTCCATTTAAGCCTCTTGACGCTGGGAGCTAGGATTTCACAGAAATCAAGTTAAATGGCTGTATAACAAATTCAACAAACACTAGAAAATTCTCTTTCCTTGCCATATAAGTAGTAGATAATATTTGTGCACACATGCTTCTCTCTGAAATATGCTTCACATTTAAGAGGCAGAGCTGTTAAATGTAAGAATAAATTATAACATCTCTGTTGTCAGCCAACACCCCTTATATAATCTTACGAGTCCTACAGAAGATGGATTCAGAAAGTGACACTAACTGTACTGCGATTTTTTTTAAAACAGGAAGATAAATATGAAAATACGTGCATACCTGTTATTGCCTATACATCTTTATAATAAGATGCGCACTAAAATTTCAAGATAATTGACTCAGCATATTCAATAATCTGTATTTTACCTTACATTTAAGAGCCCAACTTCTAAGAAAAATTTTATATTACATTTTGCACATTTAATCAGCTCTCAACAAGAGACACTTTTGTAATCATTGTGAAGCTAACAGCACATACACCAAATGAGTATCAGGCATACAGATCATTTAAACAATCCAATGCTATTTAAAAACTTTAGCATGACCTGGTTTAGTTAAATCATGATGAAATAAAGAGCTGACAACGTTGAGCTTGCCAATGCAGTAGAAGACTGAAATGATTTCCTAGGGCTTTTACACAGTTAGGTGTGGTATCATATTACAGCAGTTCCTGCTCAAATCACAACATGCTCACTTCAGACAATCAACGTGCCCTGTCTTAGCATTAGACAGGCTGTAAAACCCCAAGTGCAGCCATAAACATAAGATTAAGAGCAAAGTACTGAGGGTAAGGGTGAGGCACTTACAATGCTGCTGCAACAAATATTATGTTGAGTATTAGTTAAGTGCAGAATATTAAAGCAAACTGAAAAGAAATCAACCAAGTAACACAGGCACATACCACAAATTAACAGGTTAAATACTCTGAAAAGAATTTAGCTAACCAGAATATCTAGCTCATTTCCACCAACTTGCAGGTTTAATATTACAGAGTCCTACAAAGCCATATGAAAAAAACACATGCCTTACAAAATCAGAGAAATGGCTACTGTACATCTCTTACCAGTGCTGTGACATCCTTTGTAAACCGCAGCTGGCAGAAAACAGGAAAACAGAGTAAAAGCTGCTTACAGATGTAAAGACAGAATTATGTTGTCATACTGAGGCTGAACACAGCAAGCTAAAAATACATCTACAGTGATTTCTCTGGAAGGTACCAACAGAGGAAAAGGGCAGTGAAGCATAAAAAATAACTTCAGCTTCCTTGCAAGCATGTCTCTTTCAGGCTTCTACCTGATCCTTGTACTTAGTCCCTATCCTTCTGGAAAGCCAAATGCATTTGTGCCATGTTGCCTTGGTGCATCTCTACTGCTGCTTGTACAGAGCTCTGGTTCTCTGTAATAAGGCTTCCCTTCCACTAGAGCAGCATTGCTGTCTCTCATCTCTCCTGAGCTGCTACCATTCCTGCTTCCAGATGACGAAACCAAGGCTTCATTATGCATTTAAAACAGCGCACCCCTTACCCACATATATCTGAACATAACCACAAGCTGTCAGCTGACTGCAGCTGCTTTCACACTCTATATCTGAAATTAGAGAGATGATTCTGCAGAAACATCCTACCCATAAGATTATTTTTATTTCTCATGTTTCCACTCATGAAATAGAAGCAAGCTGTGTTCCCACTACATCTTGCACTTTTTGTCTGCTTGCTCCCTTAGAGAGCAGTAGAATATAAAAACTGCATTTCTAGACTTTTTATATGTAGCCATTTATGATGTTGGTAGGCTCCCAGTAAGATTTTTTTTAAATAAAAATTGGAAGGAAGATAAGACCCAGGAAAAATGAAAGTGACGCACTAGATAGTATGCAGAAAAATAAAATAAGAGAGAATCATGCTACATTAAGAAAAATGCAACATAGTTCTCCCACACAGACAAGGATCATGTTAACATTTTCTTTAAAAAATAATTTATAAAGTGTTTTGGGCTAGGAACAGACATTATACATAAACCCGTTTAAGTGATCAGAAACTGGTTTAGATCTGTAACAGATCCAGTGTACATCATCCAGTTTGGAAATGGCTGAAATGGGTTTGAGATAAACCTGTTTGAATGTAGGATCAGCCTTAACTGAGTTGGCTCAAACCGGTTTATGCAATGTCTCTCCCAGATCCATTCCTGCTTTAAATTACACCAGAGTCCTTCAGCATCCTGGCATGCTCTTTGGGCTGGGTGGGGTCTCTGCTCCACAGCAGGGCTGGCCCCACCCTTCTGATCCCTGGCCAGAGCTCCAGCAGAGACTGCAGGTACAGCAGGGTCTGCATGGATTCCCTCTGCTCTCCCCCATCTACTCCCTGATAAGCACGGATTTCCTCCGTCCCCTCTGCCTTACACAAACACCTCTCAGCATTAGCTAGCCGACCACATGCTGACTACGGTCCATGCTGTGCCAGATGGGACAACGGCAGAATTAACAGGTAGCTGGTAATGTCCCTGTGAGGTGATAAACACTGTGCTATCAATTCCCTGCTGAGCAGGTCAGAAGGGGGGCAGGGCCTCCCTAATCAGAGCGTAAGGGCCTGGCCACATCCCCCCTCAGCTCAGTACTGTGGCAGGGAAGGGAGGGCTGCTCTGGCATCCCCTAGCTTCTAGCCTGAGCCACTGCAGGCATGTACCTGCATTTCTGAGATGTCTGTCCAGTTACAAAAACTGATCCAAGCCTAGCCTGGTTAGACTACCCTGCAAAGATTGAATCAATTCAGGCTCAGGCTTTTTGAATGTTTGTCCATAGCCTTAGGGTTTGTAAAACTTATCCACTACAGTAACACAACAGTAACTGACTGAAGAAATGCTCAGATCTAAAACTGACAAGTTCTGGAGAAGCCCCAGGTTACTAATTAAATAGTTATGGTTCTGACCAACAAAATCCAGTAAACTTTACATTTTGGTACATAACTGTGTACTGATACACAAAATAAGACATAAAAGACTGCTTTTAAATTATTTTGAAATATTTTTAAATGTTATAGCCTTTTGTAAGTAAACAGATTTACAACTGTGAGAAAGTAGAAATGGTAAAAAAAAAAAAATAATTTCCAAGGTACTGGAAAAAACTCACAGGGAAGTAATTCAAATCAAAGCATCATATCCATCTATGTATTGAAATATATATATTTATTTGAAATATATACGTATCTATATTTATATAGATATAATATACTGTATATACATATTAATATATTTTGCATATAATATATGTAATTTATACAGATATAATATACAAGTATAAAAATTAAAATAAATAACACATTAAAATATAAATATATTATGTATATATTGTCATATTAATTGAAATATAATATATAACATATATACATGATGTTTGACTTGAAACATCATGATGTTTTGATCTGAATTACTTCTCTGTAGGCTTTTAGATCTATAATATATATAAGGTATGCATGGGGGGTTTATATAGGGGGATCTAGAGATTGGGGTTAATTTTTACCAGTTAAATCATTCCTTCTTTAATCCCAGTTATGGCCTGCACAAAATTGCTGCAGCGTTTAAAGAAAGGAACACATTTCATTTTATTAGCATTCCAATAATACTATACCCTAAGGAAACAAATGGATGAGATATTGGTCATTTTTTGTTATGGAGTATTTTAACTTTTGGCCAGCAGGTCAAGAAGCATTTTTAAGGAGGTTTAAAAATAAAGTAAAGTTGAAGTGCATCAATAGTCATTGTCTGGTATATACACACTTATTTGGATACAGCTGACAAAATATGAAGAAAATAAAATGCACTTTGCATATTCTTGTTAGTCCTTTAATTCTTCTGAGGGAGTTAATACATGAAAAAGACAAGTAGAATGCTCTTAATTCTGTTACAATACAAACTGGGCCACTGCAGTTTAGCTTAAATTACAGTAGGAATATTTAGACGTCTAAAAGCCCTGAACAACTACATTCCTGACGCAGATTGTTGACAAGGACCTAGCATTCCAATGAGAGTTGTAAACTGAGCACATGCAAGTTGGTTGTGGCATTATCATCATGGTCATCGATCAAAACCACTGCTTGGCAATTTTATAAGCCCTTCTTCTCTCCCCACCTAAAATGAAGCTCTTTGAAAGCTTGTTATAAAACTACAGCTACACTATCCTCCCAAAGCTGTTGCTATGCTTACATATAAGTTATGGGAAAGGTAGCCATGACCAGAATTAGATAGTTCTGGGGAAACTGTACAGTTCAAGTAATTAAGAATAGGATACAAAAACTTACATCCCCTCAAATGCTCATAGTGACTATCACTAAGTTATGCTCCAATATTTTATCATCTAAACCAGTTGTTTTCAGACTTTTCAATCAGAACACTGCCACAACTTTTTTTGATTTGGTAGCACCCTTGTTTGAGAACCACTGTTATACTTCCTCATCTCAGTGTAGTGCTTCTCAACCAGGGTTCTACTGCATGTATTTGGGTTATCTGATAAAGGTAAGGCAGGCAAGAGCAAAGGCCTAACTAGGGAATTTTGCATCCTGGCCAAAATTCCATGTACCCTTGTGCTCTGACCACATCCCTTCCTGGTCCGACTCAGCATGCTCTTCCCAGTAACAGAGGAGCACAAGACAGTCCCACCTTCCCATCCCACTTGTGTTTCCAGTAGTAGCATGTGGGGTCAGACTGGGAAGGGCTTAAAGCCGCAGCTGTTTTTTGATCTGCCTGCACAGGAGACATACAGGACACATTACCCACATTATAGCACCCTGATTCACCGATCTAAACGATTTAATTTGACTAGGTTCACATTCTGGTGAATGTATCTGTAATGCAAAACAAAACTAGAATGGCTGCTCCTCAGACTCTGGGGTGCTGCAGCAGGTGCAGGGACTCCATGCCACTGCTGAAATAGTAGAGGCTGGAGAAGGCAGACAGCTCTGAACCAGCAGCAACCAGGGATTCGAGTCCCTGGGGCAGGTAACACTGGTCTTTGCATCTCCTTGCATCAACGCACTGGGAATGCCACATACTTATATTTTATGAGCTCAGTCACTTATTCAGAAGCTTTAAACACTTGTAATTACTTATTTTGATATATCCAGAGCTTAAAGTAATAAGACTGCTGGTAGGAGATGGGACAAGACAGAGACGAGGCTATTGTCACAGGTACACACTTGAAATCTGCCCTGCATGTAAGCAGATTTACTGTGCTCCCTTCTGCCTCTAGGCTCACTTGAACCGTTACACACAGCACCATGCTGGTCACCAGTCAACTACACCCAAATTTAATGCTGCTTTCAGAAAACATGATCTCTCCCATACAGCTACACATTCAGATCTTTACTAGACCCCCTCCCCCTGAACAAAAGCCCAGAACAGTACCTATGCCATCTCTGGTTCACCTCTTTACCCACACAACAGAGAAGCTCCTGCAGAAACATATAACATCTGACATGCTTTTATACTTACATGATTTTTACTTGTCCAGTTTATCAACTTAAAATCCAGTCAGACTTGTCCTTCTAATTCCTTTAGACATTTTTGCCAATACTGCCTTTTATGGTAGAATCTCTCAAAAAAATGGATTTCCATAGTCTATTCAGCATGCTTTTCAGCACTTAGCATAACCTCCTTCAGCACAGAAGATGGCACATTTATCCTTGAAACTAATTTAGCTCCGAATTTACATAGCCTGCATGCACTAGCAACTTTCCATAGCTCTTCAGCTGTTATAGTATACTGGGTAAAAAGCAGTTCATAGTGCAACATTTAATCAAGGAGGTCGAAAATGAGATTACAAAAGCACATCAACACTTACTTCCTCAACCTTTAGGTCTGAGTCATGCAACCTTTAATGCTCTTTGTATATAGTCTTTGCTTCCAGGTTTTTTTGACAAGATTTCATTAGATACTTTTTAAAGACATTATCACAGGGTAAAATTCTCTATACAAATGCTAAAAAAATACCCTCAATCTAAAACTGCCAACAAGTTTAATGTTCATAAAATTGTCAGAACCCTGTTTCAATGTTTTTCAAAAAATGTCATGTTTCTTTTTTTAAAATTTAAACAAATTATTACTTCAACTAAATTAAAAAGGTCAACATTGAAATTAAGTACTTCAAAAATATCAAAATGATTCATTTAGATTGAACAAATGGAATTTTTTGGGGACTTGTCTATTTAAAAAAATGTTGCTGATTTTTTCTTAACAATTTGCATATCATAATTTATTAAAGAAAAATTTTAGAATCTTGAAAATTTTTCCAGGATAAAAATCTCTCCCACCCAGCTTTAGTAAATGGGAGTCCTTCTACTGACTTCAGCCAAAGCAAGAATATACCCTTAGTTCCTTTTTTAATAAGTTAAGTAGACATCACAAAAATTGATAATACTTGCATTGAAAAAATTTCCTAATTGTTATTGATGACTGGATTTTGAAGGCCTGTTTCCAGGAAATGAATTTATTAAAGATCTACAGGCACATATTACACAGACACTTGCTCACACTCTTATCTCAGCAGTCGTCAGTGGTCCAGTTTTTGATTCCTCTTCTTTGGTCTCGAGTATTATGACCTTTTTTCTACCAAGTGTATTCAACATGCTGTTGCTAAGGTCGTATCTTGGCTAATCACTGACCTCTTATGAGTCCCTCACTGGGCCCCTTTTTTCCTTCTCCAGAAAAATATCAAAGCTTCTGTTCTTCACCTTTAAGGTCCTGCAATTCCTAACCTTATGGGATGCAGCTAATCACTATACAGACTGCAACTTTTACCCTGATGGTCTCAATCTTAACTGCCTTCCTGTCAGCTTCCCCCTTAAAGAGCCTCATGTTTTCTCTCACACTGAGCCTCGTGTACTGGAAAGCCTGACCGATACAACCCACAGCGCTTCTTCCTTACCTCCAAATTCATACTCAGTTCTCTTCAGGCATACAAAATCCAAACAGCTGATCAAAACAGTATACATTCAAAACCTTTTTTTCAGTAAAACAATGTGCTTCTTCATCAGCATATATTAATTCCAAATTTCAGAAACACAACATACCAACTGGAGGATGTCTTCATCTTTTGGCATAACGCTAAGTTCCAATATGCAGTCACTAAAACACAACAGAATAGATTATTCACAATTTGAAAAGGAGATTTTCTTCTGTGTTAATATAGGGAGAACAACACTGATTAAGATGCAGTCTACTTGTTTCCTCAGGTCAGAACTGTTCAAGCATTGAGGGTGTAAAAGTTAAAATTCAGTGAGGCTTCACATGGGGTAAATCACCATCAAGTTTCAATCACAGTATTGCCAATGAACTCACTCTTTTTCTCTTTACAGTCTGAATTGTACTTACACTAAGGTTCACATGTATATCTAACACGTTAAACATTAGAGATATGTTGTTATAATGCATAAAGATTCAGTAGAATTCACAAGCAGTAACATCCTTCTTGAGCACTTACCACACAATGTAATACTGTTTATTGAATAAAGCCTCTTTTATTCGGGAAGTTGGAACAAGGAAGTTAGGGGCACACAACATAATTACACTAGCCAATTTTTTATTTTGCATTCACATGCGACTTTAAAAAAAAATTATGTTTAACCTCTGAGCTAAATAATCTGACCATCTTCCAGGCAGAAACGCAGAACATCTACCATTACAGCTTAGCTGGTAAGCAGACAGAAATGGTTATGTAAAGAGCAACTTTCCCCTCATGAATACAACTACGCTACCTATGAAATTCTGAACAATCTTGCAAAAAACAAACAAACCCCACAATAGAAACAACATTTAGGTCAGGAAGTTACAAATTACTAAGACCTCTTTAGAGATTCTTAGACAAAACTGAAAGTAGCAAACTGTGAATACAAAACTAAAAACTACAAATATGTAGCACTCTCATAAACTGCTGGCCACTGTCATTTAATCCAAGAGTAGACTACATATAGTAGCAATGCAGACGTCTCTACCACACTACTGTGCTTTAAACAAATCATGAAAACATCGACTAATACTACATTAGTTATTCAAAATGAAACATTTCATAATGGAAGAAATACTAGTTGTTTACTGGTGTGTCTCATGTCAAATTTGGGTCATTGCATTACAGTTACTAAACGCAAAGGCATCACTGTCAAACCAGAAAAACAAACCAGCCAAAAAACATAACAGACTTGGGGAAACTGGTCAACTAATCTTTGGAGCTGGAAAAGACATTTCATAGATTTCAGACATTAGGGCTGGAAGGGACCTGGGGAGATCATTGAGTCGAGCCCCCTGCCCCAAAAGCACGAAGTCAGCTAGGGTCAGAGGATCCCTGCAAAATAAGCAGCCAAATGCTTCTTAAAAGTGGTCCAGAGTAGGTGCTTGCACCACCTCTGGAGGGAGCCTATTTCAGGCCTTGGGGGTTCAGACAGTAAAGAAGTTTTTCCTTATGTCCAGCCTAAAACAGTCTTGGAGGAGTTCGTGACCGTTGTACCTTGTCATCCCTTGGGGATGTTCCCCCAGATCCTGATGTACACCCCTGATGTACTTATAGGCAGCCACCAGGTCCCTCCTGAGTCTGCGCTTTTCCAGGCTGAAGAGTCCCATGGCTCTCAGCCTCTCATCATGAAGCCTATTCTCCTGACCTCTGATCATGTGCATGGCTCTCCTCTGGACTCTCTCAAGCTTCTCCACATCCTTCTTGAATTGTGGAGCCAGAACTGGATGCAGTACTCCAGCTGTGGCCTCACCAAGGCCAAGTACAGCGGGAGGATGACATCCTGGGATTTACCTGAGAAGCAACTATGGATGCAAGCCAGAGTTTGGTTTGCTTTCTCACCTGCGACATCACATTGGTGACTCATGTTCATCTTGTGATCAATCATGACACCCCCCCACCCTTTGCCCCTACTGAAGATCAGGCCACCTCAGGCCTCTACGCCCTTGTTGGGGCCTAGGCCTTTATGGCCTCTGCCCCTTTCCTCTCACTGGTTCCCTTAGCCTAGGCCCACTGCGCCAGACCTGGCTTCTGGGCTCCAGCTCCAATCCAGTCCTTTCATGCTTCTCACCCTTCTTGCACTTCACACCCCTGGCTCTGCTTCTCAACTTCTCAGGCTTCTTGGCCCTCTTGTGCTTCAAGCCCATGGGCCTTGGTTGGCACCTTACAGCACCCTGAGCAAGGCCCCTGGCAGGGTTCAAAACAGTTGCGTGCCCCTCTGGCAGCACCATGACCTCTTCCCCTGAAAGTCACAACCCAGTCCATGGATTCATAGATTTATTAGCTAGCACCAAAATATATGAGCCCCTAGCTCCAACTAAAACTCCCATTGGCTATATAACAAAACCCTCCTCATCCTAGGTCTTCACTCCCTACAAGCCCTCTGTTCCTCTTAAGCCCTCCCCCTTCCTGTCAGGTGACTCTCCAGTCACCCACAGGGCTTTCCACTCTTGGCCTGATGACTCCTCTGATATCCCTGCTGTGGTTTAGCTCAGCTCCCTGCAGCCTTTGACCCCTGGGCTGCCTAGACACCTACCCCAGTGCAGCTTGCTACTTTGCCACTATTTCCTAGGAGAGTTACTCCCCCAGGGGTAGCCTCTATCTGAGCAGCTACAGGTCTGCCTGTTTGCTGGCAGCCCGTCTTCTAGCTGCCAGTCATCCCAGATGGCTACTCTTCATCTTAGAATAACAGGAGCCCTCTGGGTACATGGTACAGCAGTTACAATAAGCAAATATAGCAGTGGGTTCAGGTGAATGGGGCAGGCCTCCAAATCCTGGGCAAAGATGTCCCAAGCTAATTTCATCTTCGATAAAAAAGTCAGAACTCTAAGAAATGTATTCTTCATGAAAGCAATGCCTTGTTCTGGAAGGAATAACGTGTACTTAATTCTTTTTCATGCATGAATTATTCTGTGGTTTATTTTCCATTTGCAACCAACTATAAGCGAGAGGTGACATTCCAAATTGTGGAACTGGCATCTTGAGTGATATACTGATATCCTAAGTGATAACTGATACATTGAGTGATATACTGACAAAACTCTTGTTCGTACAGTTGTTACAGGGGGCAAGAGGAAAGGATTTTTGCACAGTCAATGCAAAATATCAAGCCATATCTCTGTTTTCTACTATATACAGACTGTGAAGAGATTTTTTTCCATTCAAATATGATTTAAGTACTAATTTGCAATGAGTCACTAAGAGAAGCCCAATACCTTAAGACAAGATACTTGTTTGAAGTGGTTATGTAAAATGTGATTGTTAATAGAAGTCATGGACAGACAAATAATACATGTAAAACTTTCACATCCACCACATACAATTCATGTACACAGACTAACATACTTTGGTAGAACCATGTAACAGTCATTCCCCTCCTTGCTTCAAATATATTAATTTGGCACACAAAAAATAAAAAAAGTCTTACCTGTTCTGAATTAAACCAATTACTTGAGAATATGTTTTTCCAATAACACTTTCTCCATTAACCTTTATAATTCTGTCACCTACAGGGGAAAAAAAAAAAAAGAGACAATGCTGTATTCTACATCTCCCTGGGATATGCCACAGCAATTTTCTGCTTGCTTTGAAAACAAAAAAACCCCGAAACAACACCACAACAAATACCTGTTTGAACATAAACTGGTGTAACGATATCAGATGTTAGCGTAAAAGTCCGATCTCCAAAAAGGAATTTTTGAGGCACGTACTTCTGTAATGAGTATAGGCTCTTTTTTTTTTTTTGCATACAATTTTCAGTCTAAATCTAAGGTTCTTATTTTGGGATTTAAAAGCAATTTTGATTCACATCTCAGTTGAAACACTATCTTTTCCAGTTAACAGATAAGGAATATTTTCTCTTCTCCTAGAGACACTGATAAGTTGCTTCAATTCTCTCCTGAGGTAAAAGTCCTTAGCATCAAACTTACGCTGTTTCTACGTCTTCAAGGCTCAAAGTATCAATACCTAAATGGTAGTGCAATGGGCTAATTCCATGCCATTCTGATTAATACTCAAGTCAAAATGCACTTTCTTTCACTTTTCCAAGAAGTATTTTATAAGTTTACAAAAGTATCTCAAATCTGTTGCATTCAGGGGCCCTCTCCGCAGGTAGGTAAAGAAAGACAAGATAGGGCCTAATGCACGATCCACACAGTTTCACCTCCTGCCATTATATGCATACGTGGCAGGGGGCGTGATTGTGAGACTGAATTACATTCCATCATGCTTTATTGCTGGTGCAGAGGGAACCCAATCCACACTGCACCAGTAAGAAGCAAATTCCCACAGCTGGGAGACCAGCAGGTGCAATCTCCATGAACCCCTGCAGCTGGTGATTACAGCAGCTGCAGTCTCCCCATGGTGAAGTGCATGGTGCACCCCCACAGCTGGATGAATGCAACAGCTGTAGTCTCCAGCTATGTTGGCACAGGCTACAAGCACAAATTAAAGCTGAATAGAAACCACCTAAAAAGTTATTACACACCTTTCTTCTGTATTTGAAGCCCAGATCTGAGATGTCACAAAAGGATTACTGAGGCTCATCTGGCCCTCTGACTACTACCCCATGGTGCTCATCCATGTGGGCACCAATAACATTGCCAGAGGTGACCCTGAACAGATCGACAGTGATTACAGAGCTCTGGGTGCTAGGGTGATGGGGACAGGGCTCAGGTGCTGTTCTCCTCAATCCTTCCAGTCAAGGGGAAGGACCTTGTTAGGAGCAGACATCCTGCAGATCAGTGCATGGCTGCACAGAAGATGTCACCAGCACAGCTTTGGCTTCTTCGACCACAGGATGCTGTTCCAAGAAGGAATGCTAAGGAAGAGACAGGATCCATCTCATGAACAAGAGGAACAGCATCTTTGCAGACAGGCTCACTAACTTAGGGAGGAGAGCTTTAAACTAGGTTTGCTGGGGTATGGAAACCAAAGTCCTGAACTAAGTGGGGAAGCAGGTAACCTGGAGGAAATACAAGCAGGAAAGAGGCAACAAGGGAGGCCTGTTCATTCTTCCTGAGAAAGCAGGGCAACTGGCTAGTTACCTCAGCTGTCTGTACGTGATGCATGGAGAGCCTGGGAACGAGCAAAAAACTGGAAGCCCTCACACCGTCTCATAACTATGACATGACTGGAATCACAGAGACCTGGTGGGATAAGCAAGGAAGAAGAGGAGGAGTAGTTGTGATTTATGTAAAAGAGCAGTGTGATTGCTCATACTGCAACAAGGGTGATGATGTGGTGGGTGTCAGTCACAGACCACCAGATGAGGAGAATGAGATGGACCAGGCTTTCTTCAAACAGCTAGCAGAAGTTTCCCCAATCACAGGCCCTGGTTCTCATGGGGGACTTCAATTGCCCTGATATCTGCTGGGAGGGCAATATAGCAGCGCACAGGCAATACAGGAAGTTTTTGAAGAGTGTTGGGAACAACTTCCTGGGGCAAGTCTTGGAGAGCCCAATGTGGGGCCATGTTCTTCTTGACCTGCTGTTGACAAACAGGGAAGAATTGGTGGAGAATGTAGAAGTGGACAGTAACTTGGGCAGTAGCAACCACAAGATGATTGAGTTCATGATCCTGAGGAAAGGAAGGAAAAAGAAGAGCAGAGTAAGGATCCTGGAATTCAGAAAAGCAGACTTTGAGACTCTCTTAGGGAACTGATGGGCAGGATCCTCTGGGAGGCCAGTCTGAGGGGGAAAGGCATCTGAGAGAGCTGACTGTATTTTAAAGAAAATTTACTGAGGGCACATAAACGAGTCATCCTAATGTGAAGATTAGCAAGTATGGCAGAAGACAAGCTTGGCTTATCAGTGAACTCTCCAGTGAGGTCAAACACAAAAAGCAAGCTTACAAGTAGTGGAAACTTGGATAAACACCTAGGGAGGAGTGTAAGAGCATTGCTTGGGCATGCAGGGATGAAGTCAGGAAGGCGAAAGCACAACTGGAGTTCCAGTTAGCAAGGGTCGTGAAGGATAACAAGAAGGGATTCTACAAATAATGTCAGCAACAAGAGAAAGATCAGGGAAAATGTGGGTCCCTTCATGAATGGACAAGGCAACCTAGTGACAGATGATGCAGAAAAGGCTGAAATACTCTATGCCTTTTTCACCTCAGTCTTCACAGGCAGGGTCAGCTCCCAGACTACTGCACTGGGCAGCAGTTTGGGGAGTAGGTCAAGAGCTGCAAGTGGTGAAAGAACAGGTTAGGGACTATTTTAGAAAAGCTGGACATATACAAATCCATGAGGCTAGATACGATGCACCCAAGGGTGTTAAGAGAGTTGGTCGATGTGACTGCAGAGCCGCTGGCCATTATCCTTGAAATTTCATGGCGACTGGGAGAGGTCCTAGATGATTAGAGAAGGGCAGATATAGCGCCCATCTTTAAGAAAGGGAAGGAGGATCCAGGGAACTACAGACCTGTTAGCCTCACCTCAGCCTCTAGAAAAATCATGGAGCAGGTCCTCAAGGAATCCATTTCTAAACAGTTGGAGAAGGTTATTAGGAACAGTCAGCATGGAGTTACCAAAGGCAAGTCATGCCTGACCAACCGGGTTGACTTTTATGATGAGATAACTGGCTCTGTGGATGCTGAAAGAGCAGTGGATGTGACATACCTCGACTTCAGCAAGGCTTTTGATATGGTCTCCTACAGCACTCTTGCAAGAATGATAAGGAAGCATCAGTTGGATGAATAGACTGTAAGATGGAGAAAAAACTGGGTGGATCATCAGGACCAAAGGGAAGCAATCAATGGCTTCATGTCAGCTAGCATCAAATGGAGTGCCCCAGGGGACAGCCCTGGGGTGGGTCTTGTTCAGTATCTCTATCAACTATCTGGATGATGGGATGGAGTGCACCCTCCGCAAGTTTGCAGATGACACCAAGCTGGGAGGAGATACGCTAGAGGGTAAAGCTAGGATTCAGACAGACTTAGACAAATTGGAAGATTGGACCAAAAGAAATCTGTTGAGGTTCAGTAAGGACAAGTGCAAAACTGCGCTTAGGATGGAAGAATCCCATGTACCGGTACAGGTCGGCTAAGCAGCAGATCTACAGAAAAGGACCTGGGGGTTACAGTGGACAATAAGCTGAAGATGACCCAACAGTCTGCCTTTGTTGTAAAGATAGCTAACAGCATACATGGCTGCATTAGTAGGAGTGTCCCCAGCAGATCAACAGAAGTAATTATTCCCCTGTATTCTATACTGATGAGGCCACATCTGGAGTACCGTGTCCAGTCTTGGGCCCTCCACTACAGAAAAAAGCATAGACTAGTTGGAGTCCAGAGGAAGGCAATGAAAATGGTTAGGGGACTGGGGCACGTGACTTGTGAGGAGAGGCTGAGGGGACTGGGCTTATTTAGTCTGGAAAAGAGAAGATTTAGGGGGGATTTAATAGCAGCCTTCAACTACCTGAAGGGTGGTTCCAAAGAGGATGGAGCTAGACTGTTCTCAGGTGGTGGCAGATGACAGAACAAGGAGCAATGGTCTCAAGTTGCAGCAAGGGAACTTTAGATTAGTTATTAGGGAAAAAAACTCTCACGAGGAGGGTAGCAAAGCACTGGAACAGGCTACCCAGAGAGGTTGTGGTTGTCTATATCTGGCTAGACAAAGTCCTGGATGAGATAAAATAGTTGGAGATGGTCCTGCTTTAAACAGGAGGTTGGACTAGATGACCTACTGAGGTCCCTTCCAATCTTAATTTTCTATTATTTTATGATTTTCCAGTAACAAACTTCATAGCTTGCTGGATCTTTTTAAAATGTCCTAGTTATTAGCCAGTCTAAATGAATTAAGCAATTAACTTGGTAGATGCCTAATATATGTAACATGTAGAGGTGGCCTAAATTTTCCAGGTTATTAAACCACAGAAATTGTCCAATCAACTGTGAAACAGATGTTCAATACTACGAAGTGCCTTGAGATAGAACAATATAAACAGACAAAACATCTGAAGCACAATTATCCAGATGCTTATTAGATTTTTAAAATGTTTTAATCTCCAATCAGTGTAACTATAAAACGTTACTGCAAGTTGCAATGGAACAATCCAAGAAAAGCAGTTCCACAAAATGAGAGGTATATGCCATACTGAGCAATTGTATCAGAAATCAAGCAATCTGACTGATAGTTCGCTGAATGTTTTATAATATATTATAGCTGCATCTTGCAAATCATGTTTCAAAAATCTGAAGTTTTAACAAGAAACAGTGACAGGACCCAACTAGGTATAATGACTATCCAGCAACATTCTTAAAAGGACACTCAGGTAATTTAAAGAAAAATGTTTATAAATTATTTATGCTCTCCATTCTGTATGTTCAAAGCCTTTTTATAAAAGTCTGAAAATAAAATATTCTCTATATAGATGTTCTCCTCAGTTTGGCAAGCATTGCCTTTTCTGAATGAAGCTGAAGTTAACAAAGTCTCTTCGTACAGCTTCAATGTATATGATGCTTTAGCAAGGCAAAACATCGTTCTTTGCACAGCAGCAAATGATGTTGTCAGTCCTTAGAACATATTTTTTTTTAATCTCACTATACCAGAGTAAAGGTGGGAGGAAGGTTAGGATCTTTTGCAGAGCCTGAAATCTGTGTTATTTTGAAATTTCTAAATGCCCTCCAGTTTTCTTTTCTTTTTTTTTTTTTGAACATTTATCTGTTTCAGGTACATATAGGTGCACAACTATTAAAAGAAAACCTAAAATCTACAACTATGTCAGGAGTATTCTATTTGGTTTATAGATATTCCTTTTATAAATATACAGTTTGCCATCCTTTTAAGGATAGAAATCCATATTTACAGTGTAATGAAGCTACATTATTTGCACTTTCATTGTTTGTACAGTTAGCTCCAACCTTATTCTCCCCCCACTTTCTTGACAATTTAAAGTAACTGCTAAGTACAAAATTATGTACAGCATAACAAATATACATGACATTTTACAATGATGTGCTCCCTATCAAAAGTGCTTAAATGCTATATTAGACAACTAAAAAAGTGGCTAGAGCCAAACGGGTTACTCAGATTTATTTACTTTAAAAGACACGAGTGGTAACAGAACAAAGTACTAGTAACAAATCATTCAGTGGTTCTGCACATAGCCAATATAAATGCCCAGTCACAACTGTTATTGTCCTTCATCTCCCATTCCTGCTATTTGTTTGTGGCCTTCACTTGTCTCTAGACTTATATTAAATGGTAAATTCTTTAAATCTCCCTTTGTGCTTGTACAGCATGGACCTCAAAAGGGGCCCTGACCTGATTAGTGCATTTAGGCTACAATACAAGTAATGCAACTGTTTGAATATAGGACAACTATTTTAGTAAAGGAAGGATAAGAGGTCATTGGACATCTGAAGAAGAAAGGAATGATCACTTGAAATGATAGGTTTAAAATCTAGGAAAGGGAGGGCACGTAATGAGTACACGTAGCAATACTGTTTGAGGTGTGGATAGCTGGGACAGTATTTGAGAATACACAAAAGAAAAAACAAAGTTAAGGAAGGAGCAAAAAGAGTGGCTAACAAGAAGAGAAAGGTAGTGCTTAAGGAAATAATGGAAAAGGATAGCAAAGTGGGCAAGATTATGTAACACTGTATCAGCAAGGATGAAGGAAGAGCATAAACTTTTGATGGTAAGAGAAAAGCAATGAAGTCAATGAAATTCCATGGTTGAAATAAGTGAGAGGAGGAAAATGAAAGTATTTTGGGCAAATCTTAGCAGGTGGAGATGAGAGATTGTGAAGCCATGGACCATAATTGAGCAATATAGTTTAGAGAGAAAACTATGAAAAATGTATAGCTTTGCTTATATTACTATTCGTATTATAAAGGAACAGCACCTGTGGATAATCCAGCTTCAAAGGCAGGTCCACCTTCTTTAACCTGTTTAACAAATATGGTATCCATTGGTTCCAGTTTTTTTCTTTGCTTCCCTGAAGAAGAAAGCATACATGGGTTGAAAGTTATTTTATTATGCTGCATTACAATGCTGAACACTAAGAATGATTTTAAAACTTTAGTCACGACACATTAATCTTCATGTTAAATATTAGGATCAACATTTTTTAAATTCATTTGGCAAATAAAACATTAGCATCTGTTCTCTCTCAAAACTATTTGTATTCCTTTGGCTAGACTGAAGATCTTTTAGCTGTCTTTGTAAAGCAGGAGTTGTAAAATTATAATACACGAATATGTCAAAAATGATGTTTTTTGTTTTATTTTTCATCTCATCGGTATCCTGTCATCCTACTAGTGAGTATAGCTTCATTTTGAGCCATCCCTCATTTCCCAGATTCTCATTTCACACATATATAAAATTCTGCTAACTGAATCAGAATTTGTACTGTAATATGAAAAAGATTAGACTCTGTAAGATGGCAAGAGTACCATAAAATCCCTGAAACTCCAACAAGAAAAATATAGATCTCCCAGACAAGATGGCCAAAGGTCTTTTGAAAATCGGTTTCTGATGGCAGTCGAAAAAGCAAAATGCCTAGTCAAGGTAAATCACAATTGCTGTATATGAACAGTAAAAAGCCTGTATAGAGAATATACATATTTATAGATAGACAATCCTGTGAATTTATTTCATTTTACACGTGGTATTAACCAGGGGTGGCCAGCCTGTGGCAGCTGTACCACAAATGGCACAGGCAGCCTCTGTGTGTGGCACACAGGAGACCAGGGACAGGACAGGCACCAAATAGGGCAGGAAACAAAGTACAGCAGCAGAAGGGGGTGGGGAAGGAGGTGGCACCTGGGGAGGGTGAGGGCTAATTTATGGCCCGCCTGCTAGAAAGATTGGTCTCCACTGGTCTAAACCAATGCAACTTGTAATTCCCTTCATCCTCAATGTGTGCCCAGCAACATATACCACCTTTACAGACCACATCTATACTTGGTCCTTCACGTTTAAGAAAGTCGATGGTTGTGAAAGCCATAGTGATGGCCACTAACAATTGTGGTGTGTTAAAATACAGGAGACAGCTCTATGAGCAATATCTGTACACAGATATGAGGCAAAGTCTAACTACAAATGAAAAAGATCAGCTGTGCTGGGATGTGCTGATCTGCTTCATAGGGCAAAACACACATCCTGAAGCATCACCAGGCAACATCAGGTGATCTGTTCTCCTGAGGCCTGAGGGGCCTGCTCCTTTTCACCCAGGGAAATCCTGCACAGAATCAGGACCATCAAACTCTAAACACAGCTGACAGCTTTCCACACTTACAGAGATGCACCCCTGAGAAACCCCTGACTTTCTCTGCTTAGGGTGATGCACCACAGAGATCCCAAAGGTGCATTTCTAAGCAGAGAAAGCAGGGCAGGTGCTCCCAGGGCTTTAGGGTCCCAATCCTGCATAGAAATTCTTAGGGTGTGCAGGATTGGGTCCCTCAAACCCCTGGAGAACCTGCCTTGTACACCTGGAGAGCGTGAGCAGCTCTGGACTACCTGCAACTTCCCACCATGAAGCTAATCGACATTGGCCACAATAAAGCAGCACAAATTTTAACACCGCCTTTGTTGGGGGCACAGATTTTTGGCATTTGTGACATGACAAAGAGCATGGGCATCTGTTTGCTTAGCCTTTGCACTGCCATAACAATTTTTATGGTGGCATAAATGTGACAAACCTCTCTTATCACTGTCTGTTTCCACCGTAAGTCACTGTACTTTAAATGACAAAGATGCAGGACAAAATGTTACTGGCATGTAAGATATTCACTGGGAGAAAACAAATACAATTCTGGTAATTCTGAAACATACTGTGGATTTAGACCAAAAGAGTCAAAGTCAAACAGTTTTAGCTCTGGGCAGGGATTCAGAGCTATTTTTGTAGAAACTGCAGACTGTGGTGGTAGAAGCTGTGCCCTACATTCTGCCCAGTGTGCAAGTGGTTAGGTCACTCACTTAGACTGTGGAAAACGAAAGCTTAATTCTCTCTGCTGGACAGAATTTGAATTTACACTACCCAAGGACAGCACTCTAAATGACCCTACTCTCTGACATTCTGGAGTGGAGAACACTCAGTCTCTCGTGTCACTACTGTTTCCCCCTTTTTTTAAAATTATTTAAGTACTCGTTGGAGGAGAGACTGGAATCCTAGTGTCCTGCATGGTTCCATTCACTGGTCCTAGTACTATGTAAGAGTCATACTGGTTTCAATGAATTAAGTGGGTTTTTTTCAATTTGTGTTGGATACCTGATCAATTACTTGCACAGACTTAAGTGGATTACATAAGATTTAATCGGACTCTGAATTCCATCCAAAGTTTACAAGCAAACAAGTCCTTATGGTTCAATTTTGCAAAATAGTAAGTGCTAATGCTCCCATTTTTATGCAATGACATGTAAAAAAAAAGATAGGTCTACTCATACAAAAATGAAGCCATATGTTGGTATGAAATAATCCAAAAAACTTGGTGCTATAAAAGGATGCACTTTCTATATATCAAGTCATTGTGTAAGGCAGGGGTGAGTAGAATATGGCCTGCAGGCTGAATTCAGCCCACGAGACCATTTTATCTGGCCCGTGGAACCCCTAAAAAATTTAGAAAATTAATATCGATCTGTCTTTGGTTCCTGTAAAAAATGACAGAAACCAGGGGCAGTAGGACCCAGAGGAAGCCTGGCAGGCTCCTGCAGCAGCAGGGGCCCCCCCAGCCACGCCCCCCAGAAGGGGCTTCTGGCCTGGGACCATGTGAGTACACTGCACTGGAAACTCAGGTAAGGAGGGGAGGGGACCCCAGGCAAGGGAGGAGCCTGGGGAAAAACTGAGCCCAGAGAAAAGCAGCCCCTCCCCCGCCTCATGGCCCGTGCTCACTGCTGCAGCTGCTCCCAGCCCACGAGTGGCTGTCCTGAGCAGACACAGGAAGCCCCACGCAGGCTGCAAGCGGCTGCAATGCGGGGCACCAGGCACGGGGCTGCTTTTCCACCCTGAGCTCAGCACCAGTTTGTAACCCACCCCCGCTGCCAGCCTGGGCCCCGCACCAGCTCCGGGCTCACCCATCAGGGCTACACTGCAGCAGGAGCAGCTGCTCGGCGCGGAGGAAAGCAGCCCCCTGCTTGCCGCACCAGGCAGTGTTTGCAGTCCAGAGGCAATGGTAGCAAACACTTCCCAGCACAGCAAGTGGGGGGGCACAGCTGCTGCCGCCACAGCACAGCTCCTGCCGCCACAGCACAGCTCCAGTGAGTGAGCCTGGAGCCAACACGGGGCCCAGGCTGGCAGCAGGGGTGGGTTACAAGCTGGTGCTGAGTGTGGGGGGGAAAAGCAGCCCCTCGCCCGCCCCATGCCCAGCGCCCCACACTGCAGCTGCTCGCAGCACACGTGGGGCTGTCTGTGCCTGCTCAGGACAGCCCTGCATGGGCTGCAAGTGGCTGCAGCAGGGAGTGCCAGCCATGGGGCAGGGCCACTTTTCCCCGCACTAGCTCATTCCCTGCTGGCAGGCAGGGTGTCAGGGCTGCACACTGCCCCCCACCCCACCCCGCCTGTACCACAGGGCTGGGGGCACTGGCAGTGAGCGGAAGCATGACGCCCAGCACTGGTGGGCCCCGGCTGGCAGGGGCTCTATGGAGCCAGGCCAGCTCCCCCCTCTCCCTGCTGGTACAGCACAGCCCGGCTCCATGGACCCCTGCCAGCCTGTTCCCTGCTCTGGGCCCCACCAGTGCTGGCCCTGAGACACTGGTCTCAAGGCATTGGTCCTAATATGGTGACCAGGAGGCGGGGCACCTGTCAAGGGGTGGCTACCCATGCAGCCCTTGACAGCTTGCCAGAACAGGGTAAGCGGCCCTCCTCCCAAAATAATTGCCCACCCCTGGTGTAAGAAGTCAAAGATGATCACTCCACAACGACTTAGAATATGGATTTTCAGGGAATGCTTTCTTCCTACAGCTTTGGAAACAAAGTCTTCATGGAATAAAGCTACTGCTTCTCTCACTTTCTCTCTCCTAATTTTACTACAGACATTAAAGTATTACTAAACCTTCACAGCACTTCAGAAGCACTAGGCAAGTTCAGACAAGCTCAGTGAGTCACTCAAACACATGATATCAAAAAGCTTGTGTCAGCTACTCTGAAGCACCAGCACTACAGTTAAATGGGTGACCACTTACAGGACCTGATCCTATCACTAACTACTAGTGTCACCATTTTACTTCCCTATTGCACAAGAAAACTAATAATGGATGTACCAATATATATTTGTGAAGTAAATAACCATACACTTACTACAATTATATTTAGTATATCCTCCCAAGTTATGCTATGCTTTGTAGCCACATTACTTCTGCTCAAAATTAAATGCAGAATCTTTCAGGAATATCCACCATCTTTGTTAGTCAGAGAAAACCGTATACATTTCTAGAGATTTCACAGGGTGATTTCCCTGAAAAGCCAGCATTTTCAATTGCCACCACAGTGTAGTACTAACATCTAGACAAACAGTACCTCAGACAGTGAAGACTTGTATTACAGGTATCATTGGGACTATCTCATTCTGCAGCCTGGAAGTGGGGGAAAAAAAAATACTGGAAACACCCTCTGCCTGGAAGGTCACCACTCTCCTTTAAATTAAAGACAGTCCTTAGGCACAGAAGCAACAAGAGTCCATTATTATTATTATCCTCTGTGAATGTATAGGCCCAGTTAAGTTCCAATGCATCTTGAGTAAAACTCATGTATAACTGACAAGCCAAGGGGAAAAAATGAAGATGTGATGACCCTGATTTTCATTTCTACTGCTGGAACGATATGAAATGCTCTTAACATTAATAAGACCTGGGCACTAAAGATCAACCCCAGACTGCTACCTGACATGCAGTGGCCCCTTGACACCTGTATACCTCTATAGTTCTGGGACCAGTACCCATCTGATACCCAAGATAGATAAATCAGGAGAGAAATTTTCTGAAGTAGTGATAGAAGGCATG